ATTTTAGGGCCTATAATACCCATAGGTTTAGTCGGGAACGGGCAGGGATCCCATAAGGGGAATTAAACAAAGGTACCTTGGATTAGATCATTGTGACGCGGAGGGGAAGGATACCCAGTTGTAACACTTACTCTACTTCTTATTATTAAGTATTTTTTTTTTCAAAAGGAAATCCATATCAAAAATCAATAAAGAACAAGATTTATAGAAGAATTATATTTTACTTAACAGTATTTATTAATTGTAAAGTTATTGTTAAAGTGAATGGTTCCTGCGTAGCACATGCACAGGGCACTAGTCCTATTAGGACTAGATTGAGAAGCTCTCTGTAAGAGAGCTTCGCACTTCCGTAGAACTTAGAAGAGAGATTAATGTCACGATTCACCATTAGGATTGATGGTGTTACGATGGTAGCAAACTGATTAATTAGGAGAGCTTAGGCCTTGTGCAAACACGATCAGATTTCATCGAATTAGTATGTGATCTTGGTCACCTGAAGATCGTGTATGCACGCACCATCAGAAATCACGTGATAAGGAGCCCTAGGAGCCCTCAAAGCTCCTAGAGCTCCAGGAGCCCTGAGGAGCCAGAAAGCTCCTGGGGGCTCCCTTCTTCGTTCATTATATAGTCAGAGTAGTTTCATAGTTTAGGAGCTTCGTGCTCAACTTAGTTATCAATTAGTTTACCTACATTCTACTTGATCTAGTAACGAATTCACTTTCAAGTGAATACCAGTGATAAAGCCTTAACCTATAACTACCAACCGACGAACCTTAGGCAGCCGCTGCCTTTAGTACAGTATCGTTACAATTAACCTACTAGACCAATATTACCTCAGTTCTGCCCTATCAGCTTCCCACTATTCCCTGTGTGAGGTCATTCCTTTTAACAGTTATTAATAATTAAAAACCACGATTTTTGGTATAAAAGATGGCCGGAATTAGGGGGTGGCTGGAAAGTAGAGTATTAGATTTATGATTTAATTATTGATAATATATTCTTATATAGAATACATATAGTAATTACAAATAGAATTATTTAAAATTATTCTAAAAAAGAGAATTTTAATAATTTTGATTTGTTTTAAGGAATTAGAGAGATGGGTTAGATTTTAAAGTGGTTGTTGATTTTATATATTAATTTGTTAAAAGGAATGACCTTACACAGGGAATAGTGGGAAGCTGATAGGGCAGAACTGAGGCTATATTGGGCTTTTATATGAATCACACACTATCTTAGTTCTACAGAAGTGCGAAGCTCTCCTACAGAGAGCTTCTCAATCTAGTCCTAAAAGGACTAGTGCCTTGTGCACGTGCTACGCAGAAACCATTCACTTTAACATAATTATATATATAATCAGAATGAATTATTATAATAAGATTAATTTGATCGGTCTTTTATATTATGTTATGTTATGTTAGTGTAGGTTAATTAATGTATATATTGATATATATTTCTAGTGATTCTCTGGTGTATACACCGGATAAGAAGAGTTGTCGATTCCATCCGAGAAAGTGCAGAATAGTCGGATGGTAAGTTATGTGTTTTATTAGTTCTAACCCGCCCGTATGCGGCATATGCAAGCTGTCTATTCTGTCTATCTCATATTCTACGATGGAGCGGAAGATGAGGTACGTGATCTTACCGCCCAATCATTGGATCTGGGGCCTGTCATGGCTATAGTATCAATGAAGCAGTATGCTAATGTTACTAAGGCATCAGAAATGGTAAGATCTTGGATAGACCATCAACCCATCAATATATTCGACTACAAATGCATTGATGCCGCATCCCTTGGATGTGGGTGTTATGGAAAAACTAGTGAGAGAATTCCATGACTTTCTTAATAGGTACCGAGACGTAGAGACATCTTTGAGAATTGTCGTCGAGATGCGCTAATGTAAGGTTCTGCTTCGATGTTTTTATCTGTGGCTGCTCTGGCGGCACGTCGAAAAGCCGTAGCGTGATAATGGAGGCATTGTATGATGGCTCCCAGGTCTACACACACTCATGAGACGGAAAGTGAAGAGCATAAATGGGAATGTTAAAGAATCAGTAAAACTGCGTTGATGTAGTGAAATATCGCCATTGTGATTTTGGCTGATGGAACGGGAAGATTTCAGGAAATCTCTGGAGAGAATTTTGCAAGACTAAGAGGAAGTATGATCCAGGGTTCATTTTTAAATGTTATCCTATCCACCAGCGAATATATGATTGCTATAAAGCTTGAAAGCTGTGAAGCCCAAGCGATGAAATGTTCGAAAATGCCAATTGATTATCTCGCCATCGCTCACTCCTCTTTTACAGCTGCTTCGTACCTTTCCAAAAGTGATACATTCCACTCCTGTAACTTCCTTGCGCTTGGTGGAAGGTATCTTTTTGTAACATCCTCCAAGTGATGCCGAAATTCATGTAACACATCTCCGGGTAATTCCAGCTCCTCCACAGATTCATTTTCCGATGATGAATTCCTAATAGGGGTACAGTGTTTCCAGAGAATTTTCATGGCTAAAATTCCAGGTTTACCAGGTGTCTCTGATATATGCATTTTCCTAGAAAAGTAAAAATTTAAAGCAGTATATCTGATCGAGGGATTAAAGATCCAAATACTGAGGCCTGGGTAAACCGGTCCTTGTTCCGATGTCTTTGTTGATGGCAATAAAAGTAAACGGGAAACACAAGACGAGTTCATAACTCCTAGGAATTGGGCCGAAATAATTTTAGCCATTGATGGTTCAAGAACCATATTCAAAAGACTGGATGGCGAAGATTCTTCGAAAGTTCCCATTCGCAAACTCCACTTGAAAAGCCTTACGCCTTCATTTTGAGGATCACTATATCCAATCATAGCGAGGCACCGTCTATTTTCACAATGAATAGGTCGCTTTATCTGTGAGCAAAACAATTGTTATTAAGGCATACTACTTGGAACATGACTTGATCCAAAATCTGTAGGATCATTACTGGCAAATGTCCCTTGTTCTAATCCCGTTACTTCTAAAATCTCGAAGAAGATACGTTGAATTGAAATGCCAAGGTTTGAAAGCCTTCAATCAATTCATAAACCCATAATCCGAAGAAGAGGGTATATGAAATTGGTTGCTGCCGGAGCAGAGCGACAACAAGTGTTTGATCTTGGGTATTTGTATCGGTGACCAGCCTATATAGAAGGTCTGGCCTCCTTCTTGGTACCCATAAGAATCGGAGTCGCAAGTGAAAGAAGGCAGGAATCATAACTTACCTCGTTACCTCCAACAGGAATATTACAATCATTTTCCGCCAAAAGAAAAGTTGAATGGTCCACAAATCCAATTCCAACTTGTGCAGTGAACTTTGTATTCGCCCCATAACCTTTTGTAGAAGCCAAATTCTCCTCTCCATGATTATGGTCAGCATGATCCGAGGGCTTGTGGCAGTGCCAGAAATCCATCATTTCTGCCCAACCCTCACTTGGAAGATCTTTCCATTCTTTTATGCGACCTGCTTCCACAATAGTTGCAGAGCACTTACGGCATTCGAGAACTTGCTCACCACTAGCCATATCTTTTGCAGACCATGGTGCCTCGATAGTTTGTGAAATATCTGCATCAGCTCGTTGAAAGTCTTCTGCCAAAGGAAGACGCCATGATAGCTCAAAGCTATCAACAGGAAACTCCCGTAATTTTGAATTTGATATCACTTGGCCTGGAAGAGTTAATTGAATATTCTCTTCGGCATGATTCAGTCTCAATATTGTTCCATCGGCCAATAATTCAGCTCTTGTAGAAGAATCTGATGGTGTATCTAAGAATGCAAGGATAGATATCTGACGAATGTTTGACAGAAGCTCTGCATATATCAATGGCTTAATAGGAGGCATTGCTTGATGGAAGCTGATAACCTCATGAGGTTGAATTTCATGTTTGACTATGCTGGTTTCTCGCGACGCGTTCTATTAAAATATCAAGTTGGTAGCTGTAACCTTACTGTTCGGCATTAGAGATTTTCCGATGCCGTGTATATTGTTACCGGCTACGCATAAGCCACATACGTACGCCACACTCAACAAAACTTGCGTCACCGCTTTTAATCAACCGCCAACCAAACCATTCTGCCCATATATAGCTCAAGCTTTCCCCACACTTTCGTTCTGATATTATGAACCTTCAACACAACAGCAATCATGTCGGCTCCTATGATAAATTGGGTTCCTATTGTGAACAGAATCTATAAATATGTCGCGAACACTACTATTGGTTCATCAACACAATCAATCACTCTTCCATCAGTTGAGATTCATGATATTGAAACAGCTCCAGAGAAAAGACCAAGAACTTTGAAGCATCTTTTAAAATCGAATCATATTAACCATTCAATCCTCTACAACTATAATCGATTCCACAACCATTTACCACATCATCTTGGATCTGCCTATCTTCTAGGAGCAGATTATGACCAGTTACAAAGAGTTTATGCTGAAGAATCAAAAGTTCTTGAGGAATGGCAGGATTCTCCCGGGGAGATTACCGATGCGGATTGGAGGGATTTCTTAGGCGAGAAGGTATATCAAAGGGCATATGTTGATTTTTTTGAGGATGAGCTTGCTCTGAAATTTAGTTATGATTGGAAGGCTTTGGTGGAGGAGTATCTTTACAGTGGTGAAGCTCCTCTTGTCAATGGTTTGACTTCAGGACGTAAGTGTATCATCTATTCTGTCCCACTGATACTAACAATTATTTTAGTCGGCCACCCCCTTATTCATCTCGGTTACGCAGTCGAATTGAATAGCCGCGAATTAGCCATCGAAGCCCTCTCCCTCACATCGACCTGCTATAATTTCATGCATAAATACCTCGATGATCCATCTTATACTAAAGCCTCTACCTATAGCACAACCTCGCCCTTAGAAATTCTTCACAAAATACATGCCGACTCTCGGTTAGATGGAGTTTTAGATGAACCATCGCCCTCCAACATAACCAAGCTTTTCGAGAAACATGAGGACTTCATACTAGAGCATTGGAACGCATGGAGCATTACCGATCCCGAAAAACAGTTTCGTGATTCGCAAGAAGCTGCTGTAAATTTGCTTGTGCAGACCGTTAAACCTGGTACTCACGCATACGACTTCTTTGTGGTACACATCCTCACCACTAGCCATGCCGTTCGAATTCTTCTTCCTTTCGTCCCACCAAAATTTCAAGTAGGTTTGATACGTCAGTGGTGGTTATTCACAATCGCCGTATACTGTGCACAGATGAGACCGAAAATAAACGAGGACATTGAGCAGAAACCAGGCAAAGGATGGAAATATGTGGAAGATAAAGCTATCAATGGTGTATGGTCAACTGACCCACATTATGTGAAAGCAATACGAGCAATTAGGGAAGCAGCTTTTACTTGGGGGGATGTACATGAGAGGTATTTGTCCATGGCAGTCACATTTGCGGATGATTTTAATGGATGGACTGGATTCGGGAGTTCTGAGTCTGATAGCATTGGCGGGCATCATTAATTTTGGTGATGGGTATTTTACTGTGTGTATTATTATGATTACGATTTTATGAATTTTAAGGATTTTTTGGAGATATCAAAAATAATATATTCTTAGTTTTGTCCTAGTGGTTTTCAATACGTATTGATCTAGGTATGTAATTGTTTAGATTCCTTAAAGATTAAAAGTCACCAATCAGCAGTTAATGGATATCTGAAGACCGGTTTTCTATATCTCAAGTTCAAGGTCTCATCTGTCATAGTTGACAGCTTAATATAATATCCATCTAATAGTTTGAATCTGAGGCTCCAAGTAGATGCCCACTAAATTCATACTGGAATCTCTGGGAGAAGCAAGGAATTCTGCCTAGTAATGAAATTAGAACAATAGATTTGTTGTTGTTCTATTAAGTGGGCCTATTGGCCGGTCATGATTGTTCTAGAGGATATGAGAAATCATGGAATGGATATCCGCTAAGTTTCGGGAAAATTGAGTTTGATAAGAAATTTCCTAGTATTTGGTAAATAATGCGAGGGAAGACGGTGAGATAACTTATATACGTGGGTAATGCGTGAGTTCTAGTGTATACTGTTTAATAAGTCACTATGCTTTCATAATAGGAGATTCTTGATTCATGATCATCTAAGAAAATTTCAATCTATTTGGAGTATTCAAATTATTAATTATTCTGGGATTTTACGAGTTTACCCCATGGAAGTTTGTTTCGGTCAAAGTTACGGAGTTGATATAAAGTATAGTTAATTGGAAATTTAAGAACTGAACCAGGGATGGAACCAAATTGGCTTCTTGTAGGTGTATCGGGTAATCTTTTTGACAGCGGTTTGGACCAAGAAATAAAGTATTTTGTAAAGAAAAGGAAATGAAACAGAGACAAAACAATTGTTGAAATAAGCTTTATATTGATCTCATACAATTCCTGTGGTTTAGAATAGACTTTCTCCTATATCACTACTATATTGCAGGGTTGGAGAGGATAGTGCAAGTATTTATCAGATATCCGGACCAGGATAAAAGAAATAGCTCGAGAAAATATGAGATATTTGATTTATTGATTAAATTAACGTCTACACTGAGTCTAAGACTATCTAAGACGGCTAGAAACTTTGTAAGCTTCTAACTAATAACAAATGAAGGGAAGCTAGCCTAATTCGACCGTAGCTAATACAGGTTGGGGAGATTGAAAGCCTCAATCTTTTAATGTTTGAATGGGGGAAGTGAAAACTAATACTAGGGAACCAAGCCCGCCTTGCAGATACTCTCGTATTCAAATAAGAGGAATAACAAATGAAATGTAATGAAATTTGACATTGGGGTGATTGCCCAAATTGACCAAATTGACCAAGTTGACCAAATGATTCGTGACATACACTCTGGCAAACCAGTAATAGCTATATTATGCCGTGCAATACTTTTCAGCATATATACATTGCTTCGCCTCTATAGGCGCATATATAAGCCGCAACATCATAAACCATACAATATACGGCGACCCAAAATAGTACAGACACATGTACGATATACTGCCGCTCCATGGGTCACTTAAGTGCATTTCAACGTATCTCAGACTCCACAATCATTCAATTCAACCAAATCATAAATATGCAAACTATTAATAGCACCTGGCTCTCCCATCTCCGTAAAGAAGATATACTAACAAGAAAGAAATGTATTATACAACATAACCCAATTCGATACATGCTTCATCGCTACATTAAACAGGCCAAGCTTCCTAATCCAGAAGCGGTCCCTTCATCGATTTTATGACAGGGGTGCTTTTAACAGGTCACATGTACGCTAGTTTAGCTTATCACTAGTGCCAAAGGTAGCTTTTGTACCTTGGGGCTTTCTATTCCTCAATTTACACCCTCTTCCACTTATACCACCTCGTTTTCTGACCCCTCCATCGACCCCTGATTTTCAAAGCTATCAGAATACTATCACCCATAACGGATTTCGTTGCTCGTTTCCTAATCGCCTGTATTGCCAGCGCCTTCCTAATTTTTTCTCTTTTGATCTTGTCGTATCAGAAGGATTTAAATAACAGATTATTAACAATTTCTTTATGTATCATCGTCTTCGCATTTTTGCTTTCTTTGATTTCGCAAGTGTCAAATCAGATGGTGCTAGAAGCTTCTACAGCTTATGCAGCTGTTCTTTCGGTTTTCGTTTCGAATAATATTGGTCCTCAAATGTAAGGATTAGGGTTGTATTGAGAAACGAGATATGCGTTATCAGGCTGTAAAGCTGAGCGTTGCTTACTTCGGCTTTTCTGTATGTGTCTAAGATTACAAAAAAATGAATAATGATTCGTTCTACGTAATTCTATAAGTTGGCCAGTATAAGGCTTTTCAACAATCACCCATACTGCATCGCCCCCTCAATACAACTTTTAGATCTTGTTTTTGTTCGCAGTCTTCATCTTAGGTGTGATAAGTGGAATTTACCTACCCTAGCCTCGTTCCCAGCATACACAGATAACTGCAGGGGAAACAACAACCAAAAGCATACCATATGTGTATAGATATAAAATATAGATATCAGGTTTTTGATATTAGTGCCTGAATTGTATTTTTAGTTCTTCTACATTGATATTTACCCTCATCCATAAACAATAAGACACAACCCAATATCCATTTTTCATTTAACATCAATATATAACTCTATGAAATAACATCACAAGTTGAAAACTATAGATTAGACATATGATTACTTTCGCTTCATTTTTATATACATAACAATCTGTATCGATTAATACAGTATATTGATTTGTTTTGCTTCTACTTCACTATTCTAACCCTTATAACTGGTACCTATCATAGCAGGAAAACAAAATTTCGGTGGTTGTTTTCGCAGTGAATCTTATTAGTTAAATGGTAACCATTTTCATGGCCCTACCTTTTTAAATACAACAGATTCAAAATTCAAGGATAATCTATCAGATGTTCATAGCAATCCTTGAAAGAATCTTATTGAACGTAGATGTGATAGAGATGATAAAAGATTTGAACCTGGCCTCGAGGAGAATATAAGCTGGGATGGTTAGTTATTCTGAACCTTTCATTTTGAAATAAAACATCTAACAAGAAAGATTGTCTCCGTTCTCTGGTATTTGGAGATTTAATTAGTCGAGAAAGATTGATAAATAGAGAAGCAGACGGGATTTGTTTATAGCTACTTGAATCCTCTCAGTACTTGCGTTGGGTCAATGAACACAGGCTACTTCTTATTAGAGGCAAACCCGATTGTGGGAAGTTCACGTTATTAAAGTTTGCCTTAAGAAAACGGGAAGAAGATGCTGCTTCCTCAAAAGCTATTGTGCTATCTTTTTTCTTTTATTCTAGTGGTACAAAGCTCCAGACTAATACAGAAGGTCTCTTCCGCACTCTTTTTCTTCAATTATTTGATCAGGATAATAACTCGAAAGCGACTTTCCAAGATATATATCGTAAACGCTGGATTGAAACAGGAAAAAGCAATATACAATTTATATGGCATCAAACTGAATTGAGAGATAGTTTTGAGAAACTTGTGCTTGATTGCTCCAGACGCCACAAAACCACGATCCTTGTCGACGCTATTGACGAGTGCAGAGATCAGGACCGAGACGATCTTATCAGATTCTTTCACAGTTTGAAGGGTCAATCACAGTTGAGATCAGAAAGACCGGCAATATTCTTTACTTGTCGTCTTTATTCTGATGGTCCAATTGATGCAGATTTTCAAATTCGCCTCGAAGAAGAAACCCGGGATGATATACCAAAATTCATTACGCAAGAGTTGCGTCTTCCAGATGAAACAGAGAGAGCAAAGGATAATCTTAAAGAACTGCTTCAGACCAAAGCAAACGGGCTATTCCTTTGGCTTTTCTTGATTATTCGACAAATACACAAGATGAGCAACAAAGGCTTGAGTATAAAAATGATCGAATCAAAGATTTCAGAGTGCCCAAAGGAATTAGATGGACTTTATGAAGACCTTCTTAAGAATATTGAGAACAGTGAGCTGTAGGAAACCATTATCTTATTTCAGTGGATATGTTTCACGAGTCGGCCATTATCACTTGATGAACTGAGGACTGCAATGACAGTTCATCTGAGTGGGTCAAAAAGTTCACTGAACGAGTACGAAGATGAAAGCAATCCTTACTGCATCCTCAATGATCGAAAAATGAAAACAAGAATGATATACTTGAGCAGAGGTCTTGTAGATATTGCGAATTCGGATTTAGCAAAGGACAAACCTGTTGTTGGATTTCATCATGACATAATCAAAGGCTTCATACTTACGAAAGGTCTTAAATACCTCTACAATAAACTGGCAGAATTACAAGGTCTTAATTATCTAATTCAAGACCTTACTATGAAGGCCCATTTGCAACTGGCAAATACATGTCTAAACTATTTATCAACAAGAGAAATTGGTACAATGTTCTCAGAAAAACAAATCAAGTCTCTAAGACAATTTTTTTTTCTGGATTATACAACAGAAAATTGGCTTATACATACTATTAAGACAGAGAAAGATAAATATAAAGAAAAGATCAATTGGCCTTCTCAAGATGTTCTTGATATATAGGTTCGCATATTTCAAGTTCAAGATAGAGATACAAAAGACTATCCTAAAAAGGGCATTAGCTTATTACATATTGCAGCAGAATACGGATTGCCTAGATTAGCCGAAAGCATTTGCAGAAGCGATAAGCAACAGGTTGCAACATCTATAGAGATAGGTCCCAAGCGGATGGAGAGAAGGCCCAAATCGAATCACGTAACAGATGGCAAGAAACAGGGGTTAATGAAGACTTCTTCTAGCAAAGGTGGAAATCAGGACACTAGGCAATATCTAAAACAAAAACTTTAAACCAGCAAAGGATGAAGAGAGAATTGGTTATACAGGAAAGGCCATATAGACCAAAAATAGTTTTTAATAGTGGAAGCTTGCAACAGGTTGCTAATTTCATTCGAAAGATTACAGAAAAGGAAAAAGGATTTCGGAAAACAGATGAGTGCAGGGTCGAGATTACAAAGGAACAAAGTATAGTTATGAATAGAATGGACAAAGAGGGAAATGTACCTCTCCATTGGGCTGCATTGAAAGGACACCTTAAAATAGTAGAAATTTTGAAGAGACAAGGAGCGGAAATCCATACGATAAATGAAAAACATTGCACAGCATTTTTACTAGCGACGGTGAACGGTCATATCGAAGTGGTCAAGTTCTTATATGAGCATGGAGCAGATGCAGATATCCATACAGCAAGCAACAACGGCTGGACTCCATTATATGCAGCATCATATAATGGTCATATCGAAGTGATCAAGTTCTTGTATATGCATGGAGCAGATATTCATACACCAGATAATAATGGTTGGACTCCATTAAATGCAGCATCATATAATGGTCATATCGAAGCTGTAAAGTTCCTTTCTGCAATTTCTGAAGTGTATGCCTTGGATACCGATAAAAATGGCCGGACAGCTCTTTTCTTTGCTGCGATGCAAGGGCACAATAAATTAGTACGACTATTGTATACCAAGTATCCCTCTTCTCTCCACATCAAAGATAATTATAACGCAACACCATTATTTGCTACATCAAGAAATGGGCATGTAGAAATAGTTAAGTTTCTACTCGGCGCTCATCATACCTATATCGACTCTAAAGATTGCTTTGGTCGGATGTGGACCTGATGAGCCAAAAGAAGCGGAAATAGTCAACTTGTTGATCTTATCCATCAGTATAACGATACAATAGGCCTTCAAACTGAAGAAGATAATACGAGCGCGAAACATACACTAGTGTTATATGATTCAACATCAGATTGATGCGATGTTTGTACATTGTCTATTCCAGATGGAAGTGACTATTATAAATGTGGAATTTGCGATAATGGCAACTTCTGGATTTGTCTAGAATGCTTCAAATTTGGTCTTAAATGTCAGAATGCTTCTTATACATATGAGTTAAGCAATTCGAAAGGTTCTGTAGGCGTTTAGAGCAGGGTCCTTATTTCTGTAGTATGGATTATGTTTGTGGTTGATTATTTATGTGTTTTTATATGTTCATTATCATTATATTGAAGTTATTCTCAAGAAGGAACCCTCTCTCCTTGCTGAAATTTTGTTTTTTTGGGTACTGAACTAAATTGTGAACTCTTGTTCCTCAATTTTACAGTTGTGAAACTAGGTATGGAACCGGCAACAACATACCTTTCTGTTGGTATCACTTCAGTGATACTAGCTCTCATAGTACTATTATAGTATTGCTTTTATTCATTCTTGATTGTTACTCTATGAAAGAGAAGGGACTATTTATATTGAAGGGGAAGTGTAAAAGTACGCTAATAGTACGGTTCCATATATAAGGTTAATGGTATCTACCAATAAGCTGAAAGCCTGTGCGCAAGCGATCAGATTCCTTCAATTTAGTATGGCATTATAGTGACCTTATAATCGAAAGTATACACCATTGCAGAAGTCGTATAGTATTCCGACAGATATATTCTTGAATTTCTGGCTAATATACAATTAAGTTTTATGTGCCCTTTGCCCTTGAGCTCAGTCAATCAAAACTTTCAGATCCATAATCATATCCAAAAGAATATTTTCTTTAGGCACTTCTTGATAGCGAAATTTGTTGGAGACAGAACTGATCCTTGGCGGGAAAAATTCACGGAATGTATTGAACCTCGAGGAAGGAAAGTGTCGGAATACCACACGTTTCCTGAAGTGGTGTGCACCTTCGATCATAAGGTCATCATAATGCCATACTAAATTGAAGGAATCTGATCGTTTACATATAGGCTTTCAGTTTATTAATGGATACCGTTAACCTCATATAGAACTGTACTATTACTGAACTCTACATTTCTCTTTAATATAAATAGCCCCTTCTTTTATAGCATAATAAATGGATAGAATAAAATATTATACAAAATACCATATTAGTAGTAATCGATTAGTATTATTAAAGTGATATTAACAATGATCAATATCTTGTCTCTTATCCATTTCAATTAGAAAGAAGTATACTGGAATTCGGAATTCCCAACCTCATATATCAAGAAAGATAAACCATGGATCAATCTAACGATTACGCTTCAATCTTTTGTTATAACATACCCGACTTTCGCAACATACATTAGCATAGTTCCAAAGCGAAGAATGTTCACGGCGATCGAATTATATGAGATTGTAAGCCATTCTGGGCCAGGCATTGTCCAACAAGTGGGACAAGCGGTAAAAGGAATTATTCTTGCTTGTTTGAAACGAGTTGAAAAAAAGGTGCATTTCTTGTATGATAAACCTTGACCGAAGCCTTTCGACACACAAACTCCTGTACAAACATCGAAATTTGGTAAATCACGCCCGATTTCCTAAAGAACTTCTCTAAAGAGATGATTTTGTGGTGATTGTCGTAATGATGATGATGTCCCTTATTCCCAGCTATTTGTAGTATTGTAAAGGGCATAATCCAGTAATGTGATTGTCAAAAAACCGCAGACGGGCAAAAACGTTGCGATCTGGCGCCTCTGCCTCTTCAGGCATCATTGTATTTATGTTGTAAATATAGTATGATAGAGAAAATCACACGATTGGAATCTGAAACCCAAGTATGCATCAAATGATCGTTGGTTGATATCCTTTCTGGTAATGTTTTCCTAAGGGATGATTTCTTGATTGTGATTTCGATGGAGTTTATTATAGAAGCCTATTGTTGACCTCCTGGGATCTTGGCAGCATATGCATATATATTGCATGATGCATATAAGGAGCAAACAAAACTCAACTTTTAATTCATTCTTTCCTTTTTGGTATACTGTTTGTTTGCTTTCAATATTTTGATTTCAAAGCACTTTAATTCCGAAGGCTGAATACCTAACCTTATTCCTTCATTTTTTGAATATATACTCGCAGCTTAACTGCTTAGCTAGAGAATCAATCAATTCAATCTGATGCTCTTTCTGGTCTCAAGAAACCCAATACTTTTTGAGTTTTGTAGAATACTGTACCTGAATCGCTGCTTGCGTCCTATGCGGGAGGGCGTCATGAATTTCCTCCCAAGAACAACCGTCCTTTTTCATCCTTACTATCGTCTCGTGCTCATCTGCCTCCCACCGAACGCGCTTCCCTTTAGGTCCTGCTGGGCGTACTTCGGAATGTAGAATACTGCAAGAGCTCCGGGTCTGCGCAAATGTATCAGCACCTAATGCTTCCGCAATAACAAGCAGGTGCAGATGCTCCGGTACATATTGTAACTGAAATTCGAGAGTGTATATAATATCGTTCCCAATTATGGTACATTTTAGAAAGCCTTGAAACTACCATTCTCGATACTCGGTAATGGTTGCCGGCTCTGCACATATGGGGTTCACAGAGGATGGTGGTGAATAGCAGTGATTACCATCGCTGATCGCTAGTGAATGCCCACCAAAGTTCGATTTGGACGAGTCGATCATGATAGATGGAGCAGTGGAGGATGGACCGATAATAGGAAGTCGCTAGGGATGACCTTCTGTACCATTATATCGGGATGAGGTTTGCTCGTTATCGATACAATAGCTCGATTGAGTAATCCATAAAAGAAGAATGAGAACCACCTATTAAGAAATTCTCTTGCTCATCTGAATTTGATTTATTGTCTTCCAGCATTAGAGTATCTATATATAATTAGGAGATTGCTTTATTATCGTAATCAAGAGTATCCATACTTTAAGTATCATAACCCTTTTGTAATCCTTTTATTAAGGTCTTCTGATACAAATAGAGATCAAGGACTATTCCAATTGATGAAGAATCGTCATCATATATTCTTGGCGAAGCTATCTTATCCTCCCAAATTTTGTTTTCCAAGCTTGAATCCTCTCTTGTATTCATTTATGATATATTATATGATATAAGAAGATCGATATTGTAGTTATTATCGACAACATTTTCTATATCATTATTCTCTATATAGAAAAACATTAACCATTATTAGTAGGGAAAAAGAATATCTTAGGATCTTATTTTGGGCATGTATACCTTGAAGTTCTGAGCCTGAATCATTACCATCATTTGATCTCTGAGTATCGTCAATTAATCTTCGATCTGGCACAATATGCTGCTCCTCGATAGGAAAGCTATGTTTCTGAGTGATTGCCCTCCTGGAACGCGGAGCAGTGGGCACATAGGTATAATAAATGGGTTCAAAAGAAGTCATTTTGAGAGTATAAAAGTGATTGATAATATTTTGGAAGCTCTCTGCTCTCTCTAGATAATACAAGTAAATCGAACTGCTCTGATGAGAAATAAAGAAAAAGGAAGCAGGAATGAGGAAGACAGTTTAAATACGTTTCTCCTGCAAGCAGGGTACCCACTAGAACGTACTCTCTTTAACTTTCCGCGAGCGCTCCTTATCTCATACATTCGCTCATCTAGCCGGCGACTCTTAGCTCTCTAGCGTACTGATCATAACCGGCGGATAGCCCCATTGCAGAAATGATTATAGCTCCAAGCGAACCATATTCCGGCAGAAGGATCAAGTATATCGCACCCTTAATCTACTTCTATTTCCTACCACGCCTCTTGTAATCACCAATATACAGTTCAAATGCTTGCAGCGTCTGGCCGACCGTTTTGAAGTCCACAATAAACTACAGGGTCTATGATAGCGATCAGTCTATTTCATCATAAATCAGCCCAAGTCAAGGTATACACTGCATATCACTCGTCTTGTAATGCGGAAAGCTTACCCGAATTCTTTTGCTTTACACTGAAGGGATTCGCAACACGACCGAGCAACCAAGCAGGTACATCATTATTGTAAGGCATTTCTGCGATTGAGCAATGCATAATGAGGGGCTAGGAAAGACTGAGACAAGTCCCCTCATCACTAGCGCTATCGAGAGTATAATTGAGGGGGATACAATGGGTAAGAAAGTAAATTGGACTTTATTGTAGGCCTCGGTGTATACTTTGGCTCGTGCCATTAAAATTGTTTGGTTGATTGCCATTCCGAGAAATCAATATTTGTCGAATTCGCAATAGTAGCTTGATTCTGATAGCTAGGAAAGCTGCCCTCTACAAGCTTCCGTATACTCTCAACATACAAACACCTCGGTCCCGACACAGACCCCTTCACACAAGACATATCCCTAACATCATCGGGTTAACATCATTAATCTTGTATTTTTAGTATAGAATATGTTTATCTTGTAGATTCCTATTCTGCATATTCACAATTGACTAATCTTAGCGTTATTTCGTGATTGTCGATGACAAAGTATATGTTTCCAATGTCCCTTTCTGATCTATCCAGTATATAAATAGAACCTTCCCTTTATAAAAACGAAACTATATAGCTCCAGATGATCATATATCCATTCTAACATCAATACAATATCCTATCAATAACAGGATATTAAACTGATAATCCTTCCTAGTTCAATATAAGGTCCATCCTTCTGACATGACCACAGCCCCGAATAGAGCTTGTTCCGAGGTTATACGACCTATCCCTTGTAAATACATATAGAGTGACCCAGACCTCGAACCACCAGCGTTTAATCGTTAATACTCAAGAGATTGCAGTATATAATAAATGTAAATTGCTCTCATCACAAATCAACCTCAATCGAAGACAGACTACATACATCATCATTTCGCCGTGCAGAAACTTACCATGATCCTTCCCTCAGCATACAAGTTATCCCTAGCACAATGAGATAGCAAAAGCACCCCATACTATAATGAGACATTTCTTCGATTGGCCAAATTGCAATGAAAGCAACCAGGCCCCAGGGTAAGAGTACTGCAACTAGGGTTACTGAAGTGATTGTTGTAGTGATCGCAACAATGCACTGGTGAGAATGGAAAGCCGAACTACCGTCTCCTTCGTAACTCGGCCAGTAGAATGCGAATAAGTTGATTGATCGTCATCATAACAGCCAAAAGACATCGAGTTCAAGGTAGTAAATCGAGATTTGTAGTTTGATAGGTAATGCCATCGACGTTTTTCAGCTGTGGCAAGACCGATGTAAATGGAGATTCGAAATGGGACGGTATAGGAAGAGATTTGCAACAAGCCAAATCTGAATGACCAAAGAAGGAGGTGTTGGAGGAGGACTAAAGAAACAGAAGATCGAAGAGAGGGGAGTGCGATTCTTATAGATATTGAAAGCGGCGTCTGGCTCGTGCACGCACGTTGCCTAATGCGGCGGCCGCTAAACTCGGGGGGGGGGGGAAAGCACCACAACTGAGATTATATATTTTAAAAGTTTTTGTTTTAAAATATTTAATTATTTATTTTCAAAATTTATTTATGTTACGTCGGACAGTAATATAGGTCACGTTCTTGATCACATGATCAAGAAACCGACAAATCGAGACCGGCTTTGCGGTGATCGAATTGTTGGGTTTATAGCCATCGGTTTTTAAGGAGGCACGAAGGTCTATATAATCAAGATGGATTCCCTTTGTATAGAGCTTCGTGCTCAAGATCAATCATTTAGTATACTCTACTATTAGTTACGAATTGCATCATTGTCATTACTTGAGTCCCTGCTTGACGCCTAATTATAAACCACTTCGAGAGCCTAGAGCACTTCCACGTGATCTAGACGGCAAACCTCGTAACAATATTACAAGATTCATCAATATCGATTGGCACATGCATACAGATATACAAGGAAACATTTAGATAGCCATAAAACCTTCGAATTGATATGTTCATCACTATTCATCATCCAGTTATTTTTTTATGGCCAACTATTCTCCCCAATGGATTCATTATCCACCTGTCATATCTCTCAAAATCAATCCATGCATCCCTCCAGTCTCATACACAATCATGCAATGCATCCGTATCAACCCATTCCATTCCATCCCACCCCAACCATCATATGATTCGTGAAGATAACTATTTGAAAACAGTGAAATTGTATCCTTTTGGAAAGGTAAGAACAAATCCAGCCAGCCATAATGTTAATATGAAATCCAGATTTGTTGATTGTGCAACGTGTCGTTAGACATTGAAAATAAAGAAAGTAGTAAAAGCAGGAAAATGAATTCTTGGTGGTAGTAACACAATTAATTTTTAGTATGAACGATCGTATGCTTCCTCTTAAGGAAGGTCAGCGACGAGTACCAAAGGTATGTGCAATTTACTCTTGGCTGGATGAATTAATGTCCATAGTTGCCACCCCATCCACCACGTTGTTGGCTGTTACCGAACCCCTGGTAACCTCCGTAACCTTGGTAGCCTCCATATCCGCTACTCTGGTGCCCTTGACCAGCAGCTTGATGACCTCCGACACCACCAAGGCCGCCATATTGGCTACCAGCTTGGCTGCCGTGAAGTCCATGACCTTGAAGATGGCTTGGGTATCCACCATACCCACCTTGTTGCGATTGTGGGGGTGGCAAAACTGACCCAGGGGTAGCATTGGTAGCAGAGCCAGGTCTTCCAGCTTGAGACAAAGATGGGCTTGGTCCATTGGCAGTCTTCGAGTCACCAAACGGCTTCAAGTCATCACTAGCGCCAGGTTGGCTGCTTTGTGGTGCATTGTAGTGCTGACCTGAAGGATAAGCACCACGGCTAAATGCATCATGGGACCCAGCACCAAATGCTTGTGGAGTCTGCGATGATTGGGATGATCCGGCTCGGCCATAATCACCCAAGCCCCCTCCAACTGCGGAGTCACGGCCATGAAGAGAGGATCCAGCAAATCCACCAGCAGCAGGAGAAGAGGTGTGATCATATGGTGCACCTGGTGACATGTAACCTTGGTATGGTTGACCGTGGATACCACCTTTTCCACCACCATATGGAGAACCACCATAACCACCGTAGCCGCCAGATTGTTGGAACTGGTTCATGTAAGTAGCATAGTATGGGGAAGAATAGTAAGGATGTCCATATGGATAACCTCCTTGGGGTTGTTGTGAATGGCCTGGTTGAGGCTGGGTTGTTTGAGCAGCAGCGCCAGTTTGTTGTTGGCTTTGAGCTACTGGGTTAGGAGTAGTGTGTCCACTATTCTGACCTTCTCCTGTAGTCGCATAACGTGATTGGGATTGTTGGCCGGAAGTTTCACTTTGTGGTCCATTGTACCCACTATAAGATCTTTGAGATGCTGAAACATCTTGTTGACCTTGGCTGCCTTGTTGCAAGCCATATTGCTGTTGATAGTAACTGTTGTAATTTTGTCTTTGCGGATCAGAGGTATAGTATGAAGAGTAATCGTTTGGTGCGGAAGAAAACGCGCCGGATTGTTGTTGTGGCTGAGACTGAGCCTGACTTGGATAGCCTTCGAATGGGCTTTGCGAGCTTGGCGCCTGTTGGCTGAACGCGTCGTAAGGCTTCTGTGGCAAAGAAGACTGTTCCTGGGATCCCGGTTGTCCATATCGACCGTACTGACCTAATTGAGAACCAGCAGTTTGAGGTCCTTGTTGAGATGTAGCTGAACGAGAATTAGTAATGCCAAGTGGATACGTAAAAATTAACTTACTTTGAGAAGTAGAGTGGGTTTGTGGGGAAGGAAGTCCAGGGGCAGCTGTTGGGTGAGTAGCTGCGGGCAATCCAGGAGCTTGCTTTGGGGTAGGCAAGGTCTCGGAAACTGGTGCAGCCTGTTGCGGAGCAGGAGGTAAAGTAGCTCTCGGGGCTACTGGCGAATGTTGTGGTGGTTGAGCTCTAGTCTCGGGCTCTTCACGATCACCATCAACATCGTCTTCACTTGTACCACTGAGATTAAATGCGCCAAATTGTACAGCGGCCCTATCCACCTCGCGATTACCTGGCATGCGAACAGCTTCTTCCTGGTCGAGGACGCGGCGTTGAAAGCTTGGTGTGCGACCCGACGACCCAGTAGCCTTTAGTGCCGAAGCTTGGAAACCACTGGTTGGAGCACGGGCAGTAGCTGAAGTTTGAGCTTGTAATGCGGAATAAGGTGTAGAATTTCCAGTAGCATTTCTTGGATCCCATGAGCTTGCAGCTGTGCTTGCAGCAGTTGCACTTGGTGGTGGAACTGATTCATCTGGAACTTGTTCGAGGTTTGTCTCCGTCAATTCGTCCTTTGATGGGGTGAGATTAACATTAGTTTCAGGTTCGACGGGTGGCTCGACTGGGGCAGCGGGTTCCGGGGTTTCGACGGGCTCTGGTTCAGGGATGGAGGGCTCTGGCTCTGAAACAACTGGGGCTTCGACCGGTTCTTCTGGCTTAGGGAGTTCTGCAGGCTTTTCCACGGGCGGCTCTGGGGCCTTCTTGGGCTTAGGTGCAGGAGCAAACATGCTTGCCCAGCTCTTCTTGACTCCATCGGGAATAATGCTTGAAGCTGCAGTTGAAGCGGCGGTGGCAGTTGTGACAGCTGCACTGGTTGCTGCGGCACCCCAGGTATTATCGCCCTCAGTAGGTTTGGTAGATTCCCGAGAATCGGCATTGGTATCTTTAGCGGTGTCTTCAGTAGTGGCAGTAGTATCCCAAGCGTTAGATTCAGTTGTAGGAACAGAAACTTCGGTAGTTTCGTTACGTGTACCATTTGTATGCGCAATTGAAGCTCCACGAGCTCTACCACCTCGACCTCTGTCATTACCGCGACCGCGTCCTCTGCTACCATCAAATCCACCTCTACCACCTCGGGAGGCTCTTCCAGTGTTGTTAATTTCGTTAAGAGCAGTAGATGGAGCTGATTCGTGGGCTTTGGACTTAGATCGGTCTTTCTTATTCGAAACCTCTCCCCATTGTGAGATGGTACCTTTGATTGTGTTAGACTAGTAAATGTACTATAAAGGATATGGGCTCGATGTGGATTGTAAAATTATGCATGAAATCCTTACCCTCCGAAATGCGCTCGACAGTACTTTCTAGATCTCCGTCTGTTTCTTCAAGAGCCATAACAACATCCTCATCTGTCCAGCCTGGAAACAATTCTTGGATAGTGCTAACTTTGCTACCATGCTTCTTCTTTAATTGAATGACTTCAGTATTATCTTGCTCAATTGATGCAGTAGTAGATGTGTTCTCGCCGTTAGCTGCCTGACCTCTTCCGCCGCGACCAGCTCTTGGTGCAAAACCTCCACGACCACCTCGAGCTGAGCCTCTGCCACGAGGCGCTGGTCTTGATTGTACCTCAGACATCTTGTGAGGTTGTGTGTAATTGTGTAAGCAAGAAAAATACCAAGTACCTTGAAGAAGAAGAGAGAAAATGTAGAGAGTTGTTTGGTTTTAGAGGGTTTTTTTCGTTGTGATGTTGGAGAGGAGGGATGACGCTTTAGGTGTGGGATTTTAGGTGAGGCAGGTTTAAAAAAGGCACAGGGCACAGATTTAAGCTCTCCTGAAAAACGACTTGTCGCGTCAGTTTTGTTCAGGTTGTGCAGGTGGGATTTCCACGAGGTTACTTTTAGAGTAACAAATTATTTCGATAGGCGAAAATAAAAAAGATTCGGTTACACAATAAATTGGTAAATAAGGGAATAGATAATTATTTGAAGTTATTCAAATGACCGCCAGATAGTAAGACATGATTGATTTCTTACTTTATTTTTTAGAAATTCCTTTAATTCTTTCTTACAATTGAATGTTCAGAAGCTTCGCTCGCTCCAATCTTTAGCGCATAGATCACGTGTAATTATGTAATATTGTGCATCACCCCACACCATGAAATTGATACGATTGGTTCAATCAGGCAGGCAAGACGCAAGACTGGGAGCAAACCACAATGGACCACGGCAGACGAAATGCACTTATCAGCATGCAAGTAAGGCCAAAGTGGCTAGGTAGGAGAGAAGTGGCACAACAAAATAATCGATTGATTGCAAGTCCTCGTTAATACTTTGATACCATACAATAATCTCGATACTAATGAAAGGAATCAAATCTTTCTATTCGAAATATTATTGAGATGCAATTTTCTGGTCAAAATATTACATTGAAAATAATGGTTACTCCATTTGATAGAGGATTTTAAAAATCATGTTGTTCTCAAGCATTCGCTCCTCGTCAAGGGTGTGTGTGGCTGTGTGGAGACAAGAACATGACCTTGATTGCTTGAACAACATCTTGAAATCTGCGGAGTATCAGCCATTGCTGCTGGCATACCTCAAATCCTATCGTCTGACTTAGGTATATCCTCTATTCACACTATCAATCTTGTTCATCCCCACCTATTTCAGATATGATAGATGAACTGTACACACCTTGCACACCGTACTGACGTTTGAAAAGAGTCCTAGGTTTACGTCGCAGAAACCGAGGGAGTTGAAGTCTACGCTGATTCCACCATATACCGCCCCCCCCCCCACCTTCTTCCGCCTATCCCACCAGACAATTGTCGTATTGCGGATTGAGAAATCAGACAAGTGCGTTGCATCGACCTCCTACATTGAATACGAGCAAGCATAGATCATACTCCTTTTTTGACTACACCTAAACCAATTCGACACTGTCTCACTAGACATCTTCATGATGTTTCGAACAACTCCACCAAGCTTCTTTCGTCAACTGCCCGCTCTCCTTAAGTTTAGGCTTCATCAACCTCTACCTTTGACCCAACGGGAGTCTACACAATTGCTCGAACTTCTCACAACATCATTCCGACAACAACTTGACTCGGAGCATGGACCATCAAACACGAGTACCAAAGTCGAAGCAATTGAGTCCCATCAACAGAATGAAAATAGCAGACCTAGGCGCCTTTCAGATTCTGGCTACAGGCACACTGATCGACATATTAAATCGATTCTTACGAATCCTCTTTTCAAGCAAGGAACGCCCAAGAGTGAGCCTGGATCCACTCAAGATCCCATGGATACATTTGATAGAGCTGTCGGACGCGGAATGATGACTGTAAACTATGCAAAAGCCATCTTGATAGCCAAGAAGAGACAACTTCAGTCCTCACATGAAACATTAGAAGAAAGTATGAAGAAGTCGGGTGCCGGTCTCAAAATTCTGAAGTGGTTGACTTCAAGTGGTCTAAACCAGAATACCGAGTTCTTGTTGGAGGACCGAATATTCGGGGTTCTGCTTTTTGAGTTCATGCGTGCAGAAGGTTACGAAGAAGTTTTCTGGGAGTGGATAAATAAAGCCATGCATGCTCCCAGCGCTACGAAAGCCGAATTCCGTGGTCTTGCTCAGCTCCTTTCTAAAATCGTCAAACTCACCGCCAAGCTAGAAGCATCTTTCAACGATTCTTTTTCTATTTTACTTCGAATAACAGATATGTCGAAAGACCTGCCCTTAGAACAAGTCCAGGACCTTCTCATAAGTCCCGGGCAACGCGTGTTTCACATGATTTTAGAGTCCTCTCGACAAGTGCGAGAAGCTACTTCATTAGAATCTTTCAAGACATTCCAACAAATTTTACCAGTATTCAGCATCCATGATGTTGACCTGCATACTTTAGATATTTATTCTCCATACCATCGATCTGCAAACCATTTCTTAGAATTCCTTCGACAACGACTCTCTTCGATGGAATCAGAGACTGAGGATCTCGGAAGACGTTTTGAACATAATGGAGCAAAGAAGATGGTTTCAATATCTCTCATGGCAGCCAAAATTCTACTTGAGCAAAATCGGGTAAATGATGCAACGTGGATTATGGAACGACTGCGCACGAATTATCCCAAGCTATTAGGAATTGAGGCAGATATTCAGGAACGGAAAGAAGTTGATGAGGCATCAAGCATTCAAATACTGGAGTCTTTCAGCGTAGCCTGAACAATCATACCTTTGTACTATATTGCATTTGGCGTTATTGGGCGGTTCATTCCCATGGACTTATGGGTGGTTGGATGGGTAGGGAGTTGATTTTGTTAACGATATCTCATGGTCATATTTAGCATCAGACCCAATCCAAATCTACGAATGGCATTTTTTTATTCTTTCTGATCAGTTGTTGTGCAATTTTGCGGTACGTATTGCGGTAATGGGTATTATACGGGACTAAAATTACTCCTGGAGCTGAAGATCGAAGAATGCCATTCTCATAAAGATTATTCTAATAATAGATTTCTACTGTTAAGGATATCTTAAGTCTGCAAAGGATTTCTTTTCCCCATTATCCACTTCAAGATCAAAAATCGATAGGCAAAACTCCGTTGCAGTACATAACTCTAGAATGCAAATACAAATATGACGTTACCATTACTCATTCTTGTACGTATCTGTGTGTGAAGAGTCACGTGAATATATGGACCCAACAATGCATTAGCCTTGTCACCCCTTGCAGGTCTCCGGCTCAGGTACGGTAAACAGGATAAACAGGATAAATTTCTTCGTTGTATGTTTTGATGAACTTATTTGTGATAAAACGTACAAAAGAAAAATGGTTTCTAGATATATATAATCATGAACTTTTGAGAATGTTGGGTTTTTTTTGGATTCTGTTTAGTTTTTTATTGTTAGGGATGTAGTATCTTTTAATTGAAATAGAGAGAGAAATTATCTACAGAGTACGGAGGAGTACGTCTACGGAGTATAAGATGTAATGTGTGTGTGTGTTTGGTAGGTAGGTAGGCTAATGATCGGAATGTAACCCCGGCTCATTTCCCCGCAATTTCAGATCGATCATTCAAGCTGCAAGCACCTAGAAGATTCTGCAGAGAGAAAATGGAAAAAAAGAATTTGGGAGTTATTTGATTTGATTTGATAGGTGTAAATATATTCTTTTACAAAGGAAAAGGCAAAAGGGGAGGAAGAAGAAAACGGAAATGATTATTTGCTTATTTATTCTTACTTGATTGAGCTTTTATTTGGTAATTGAATTTTTGGATTTCTGATCTCGTACAGTATAGTATGCAAGTACCTAACAGTAACTGGCAGAGAGGCTTACCGGAACTTTCCCTTGAAAATTGCTTGCTTGCTTGCTTGCTTGCTTGCTAATTAATAGGTAGGTGCATGCAAAATTTGATTGGCTTACCCGAGAAGAGGAGCAGCTTCCTTGCTTGCTTGCTTGCAACTTGGAAGCTTTGAAGAAAAAAAATACCCTAGCTAGTAGAATAGCATCATGACCTAACCTTTTACATATTTTACCCTACCTACTAGGTAGGTAGTGTAGTTAGTACCTTTCATTTTCAACGACATCTCTTCAATTTATCTACCTTTTTTGAAATTGAAATTACTTGGGTTTCTCGTCGCGAATTGAAAGAATTGATACGGAATATTCTTCTTTTGATTATTAGCATTTGAATCGCAAGGGTCTTTTGAGAGGAAAAAAGGATTTTTATTCGATTGTTTGCATATTTTTCTTCATAATTAAGTTGTTGCAAGCAAGCAAGCAAGCTTTTGGAGATTTGGAAAAAATTGGGAAATATGGCGGATAAGAAGATTGAAGAGGGTGATAAAGGTATGTGGAATTTGATGTTATAGTTGGTTTTGTTTTGCTTCCTGTTTACTTGTAATGTCTGCTGAGGGTGAGAATTGGTGATTGATGGATGGATGTGTCTTGCTTTCATATACTTCACTGTCGCATATCGCATCTCCATTTCCATTTTCGCAACCTCTTGCTCATAACGCGTGGAAGTTTCTGCATCGAAACTCCACCTTTTTTCTCTCTTCTATGTCCTTGCGCATAATTTAGAAAGTATAATGGCGATGTTCAATTGCAATTTCAATCTTAATCGTCAATATCTACATTTTTCACTACTACAAACAAAACTAATACATTCCTTGCGCATAGTTTCCTGGAATTGGCGCGGCGCAAATCCAGAGGGGACGGTGGGAGAGGTAAAGGCTGGAGAGGTTACGGTTACGAGCCAGCGCGGGAATGAAATTAAGAAGACGGGGGATGAAACGGATCCCGCGGTGCATATTGAGAGGAGTGGGAATGATGTGGTGAAGTTGGCTAGTGAGTTGGTGGTTGAGGAGAAGGGTGAGAATGGGGAGAAGGGGGAGGTGAAAGAAGAGGTGAAGGAGGGAGAGGAGAAGGAAGAAGAGGAGAACAAGGAGGAGGAGAAAAAGGAAGAGGAGAAAAAGGACGGAGAGGAGAAGAAGGAGGTTAATGATGGAACTGAGGACTCTGAGATGAAGGATGAAGAGAAAGGTGAAAGTGATGGGGAAATCAAGGTTGAGGAGAAGAAGGATGAAATCAATGCCAATGGCGAAACCAAAGACGAAGACAAGGTCGAAGCCAACGGTGAATCCAAGGTTGAGGAGAAGGTTGAAGCCAATGTTCAAGATGAAAAGGCTGAATCTAAGGAAGAAGACAAGAAGGAAGAGGATGTTGAGATGAAGGGCGTTGAGAATCAGACTGAAGAGAAGAAACCCGAGGAAAAGGATGGAAAGGAAGATGAAAAGAAAGTTTCGAGCGACAAAGAAGACCAACCCGAGATCAAACCACAAAAGGGAAATAAGCGCAAAGCAGACGAGTTGGAAAGCGATGAAGAAAAAGCAGAAACGAATGATAACAAGAAACAAAAAACGGATGCTACTTCCAACGGCACTGCGGACGGTACCACCCCAAAGAAGAAGCCTGGCAGACCAAAGGGTGCTTCTACAGCTAATGGTACACCAGCAAAGAGAGAAAAGAAAGTTCCTGCTGTTGGTAGAGCTCAACGACAGACGAGAAGTCAGGCGCGCAAGGATTCTGTTTAGGTCGTACAAGGGGAGTAATTATCTCCATCTAGAGACTTGGGAGACTTTTCAGTTGTCGATAACATTACAGACATTGGATATCTCTGGGCGAGTCAAGGACGTGACTTTGAAGGAAAGGTCGTATGATTTGATATTTGAATATGATTTTCGAATAACCAATCAATCGTTTGGGCTATACGGAGAGACACGGTGGTAGGTTGGGTGGTTATTTTGCATTTTACTATCGCCTTGTACATAGGTGGTGCTATTCGGAAGGAAAAGTAGCAGTTTACAGGTTTATTGATAAGGATTCGGAGGAGATTAAGTGAATGGGAATGAATCGGCGGAGCAATGAATGGGAAACGAAAGGAAATGCGAAAATGAATGATATCAAATGTTATTTGTCTTCATCTTCGTCTTACCTTTATGATCTTTCTAATCGGTATGGCGAGACAGGTCCAACGTGATATGATCATTTTCCATTGAATCATGATATTTAAGACAAGACTGTCCTTGACCTCATACATACAACAAAATAAATAAAACAAATATGAACGTCTCGTGGTAAGGTTTATCCCAATCCTATCCTAATAGCATACAGAAGGAAGTACCTCGAGTACAGTATTTCAAATCAAAAACGTCGTAAACACGAGACGGGAGAGATTGATTAAAATCGTCATCATGCGTTCTATTAGTGTGGTGGTGCGGATAGGCCAAGTCCCGTGTTGATTGTATTATTGTACGGAGTATTTTCTTGCTGTTATTGATAAGAATAAGATTTATGCAGTATAGCATAGCCACATGGATATACCCCGAGGTTGTCGTTTGGTGGGAAGGACTGGTGGGAGAATGATGAAAGAATGATGGGAGAATGGTGGAATGAATGGTGCAATGGTGGAGAAATTAGATGAGTCTAGATGGATTGACTTATCGAGCATGCATTTTGAAAGCTAAGTTGTATGGAGTATGTATGTGAAGTAGAGTGTTAGGTTTTAGTTATAAAGGTGTAAGAATTTTAATGATTAATGGATAAATGAATGACTAGATTTACAGAGTATAGTATAGTATTCTTGCTGAACTTGTAGATGTGATATGATATCCTCAAGACATCTCTCAAGTGAACAGCTGAGTTAAATCGAATCATCAGTCAATTATACACCAGTACAAAATAAATTCACCAATTCTATAAATAGCACAGGTACCTACATGTATTCCCAAAAAATAAATCATTCATGCAAATGCCAAGGAAGTTTTTCCGTTTACCGGACCAATCGAAAGAGTGAAAATGGTGGATTTATGGTTGGATTTTCTGGGCGTTCTTTGTACCGAGAGATTTTTCTTGGGGTTTGGTGGTTCTGTTGATCTGTTACCTGCCTTGGTTGGGGTGATGACGAATGCCGAAATGAGTTTGAGTACCTACCTAGGTGCTTCGTACGTTGAGATCTATCTACTAGGTATGGAGAATATATCTATCACGGGATTTGTTACTTCCATCCGTCCATAGGTTGGTTGGTTACTCATCAGTACAGTATAGTACTCGGAACTTCCGTAAGTGAGGTTAGAGATCAAGGTGAATGTGAAGGTCTCGATGGCTGGTGGCTCTTTGTAGGTATTTGTAGGTGGCTTGGCGTGGTTAATATTTAGAAACAAATCTTTCTTGTTGGTGAATAATAAATGATTTTGGATACTTATAACTGCCTTTGATTGATTTTGTTGCAAACTCGATTTGTTTGTGATTTATTCTGGAAATTTTCTCTTGATGTCTTTCTGTCTTTCTGTCTTTCTGTCATTCCCATTCAATACTGAATACTGATAAGGATTTCGAGATTATTCTATCGTTTACTGCGTCATTTACTGCGTATTCTATCACTTCTTCATACACTTCAAATCAATAGAATCAATCGGTTATCAATCGGTACTTCCAGTGTGGCTTGCGCTGCTTAGATTTCTCAAAAGTCCTCTAATATTTTCGCAGATCTTGATCTACAAAGACTACCTACCCAAAAAGCGTCATTCTCATAAAAAATCCCGGTAGTTCAAATTACACATTGCATTCAGCGCAGCTTGGTTGAACAGGGGTGAGATTTTTGTGAGGTTACACTGTTACAGGCCCCATATCGCTCGCTATCAAGGGATATTCAAAGAACGACGTACCAATTCTGAACTGAACTGAACTGCTCTCTTTAACACCCTCGATCCTCAACCATTCAATCCTCACACGCTCGTTTGGAGGATCAAATAAACGACTCTTCAAGAGGAAGAGAATCATACATCTCTCTTAACTTTACATCGAAGCATAATACGTCCCTCGCGCATACGAACACCAACTCTTCTTCGTTTGGCCTTTGGCCTGTCATTGCCGCTCGCTTTATTCAAAACTTACATAAGAAAACAAAATGGAGGTGGGAAGTACGATGAGGGTGCTCTCCAAGAGAGAATCCGATGCACAGAAACTGTTAGATTTGTTGGCAAATCCTTATTCGTGCCCAGGTTTGTTCTCGCGATACTTTTGCTAC